AATGCTGAGATCACAATGCTATACAAGAGACTAATGCTGAGATCACAATGCTATACAAGAGACTAATGGTGAGACTAATGCTGCTGAGATCACAATGCTATACAAGAGACTAATGCTGAGATCACAATGCTATACAAGAGACTAATGCTGAGATCACAATGCTATACAAGAGACTAATGTTGAGATCACAATGCTATACAAGAGACTAATGCTGAGATCACAATGCTATACAAGAGACTAATGGTGAGACCACAATGCTATACAAGAGACTAATGTTGAGATCACAATGCTATACAAGAGACTAATGCTGAGATCACAATGCTATACAAGAGACTAATGCTGAGATCACAATGCTATACAAGAGACTAATGGTGCTATACAATGCTATACAAGAATGGTGAGATCACAATGCTATACATGAGACTAATGCTGAGATCACAATGCTATACAAGAGACTAATGGTGAGACCGCAATGCTATACAAGAGACTAATGGTGAGATCACAATGCTATACAAGAGACTAATGGTGAGACCGCAATGCTATACAAGAGACTAATGACCGCAATGCTGAGATCACAATGCTATACAAGAGACTAATGGTGAGACCGCAATGCTATACAAGAGACTAATGCTGAGATCACAATGCTATACAAGAGACTAATGCTGAGATCACAATGCTATACAAGAGACTAATGGTGAGATCACAATGCTATACAAGAGACTAATGGTGAGATCACAATGCTATACAAGAGACTAATGCTGAGATCACAATGCTATACAAGAGACTAATGGTGAGACCGCAATGCTACACAAGAGACTAATGTTGAGATCACAATGCTATACAAGAGACTAATGCTGAGATCACATTGCTATACAAGAGACTAATGGTGAGACCGCAATGCTATACAAGAGACTAATGTTCAGATCACAATGCTATACAAGAGATTAATGCTGAGACCGCAATGCTATACAAGAGACTGATGCTGAGATCACAATGGTATACATGAGACTAATGCTGAGATCACAATGGTATACAAGAGTCTAATGCTGAGATCACAATGGTATACAAGAGAATAATGCTGTGACTACGCTGGTTTACATAAGGCTTAGTTCAGACCGAAGTTTGTACACCTGAGACTAAGGTAGTGAAATTAGATGAGATTATTTCATAGTCAATATGTGAACATGTACAAATATGACCGATTATACCGAACACATCCACATATCAGTTTATTCAGATCAAATTTGAATTTCTAATAACCCTGTACACTGTGGGTAAACTACAAGTTGTTATGGTTATGCTATATCACTCGCACTAGGAATGTATTTTCTTTAAGGAGTCTCTTGGGTGTACATGATGTGATAAACTAGTAGCATTAGCAATATGTATTTTACTCAAGGGTTATGAAACTCCCCTAAGAAGCACTCAAAACACTGATAAATTCATCACAAAATGCTTTTCCACAAATGCCTAGTGCTAACATAACCAACATAATTGCAAAGTGGCGATAACTGTAAAATATATTTTGACATGAGATCGTTTATCAAAGTGGGGATACATGTATGGGGTTAAAGCTACCCCTTGATACCAACACCCCTTAGGCTGTGATAAATCAGATATGTCATATAACACTTGTTTCGCCTGGTTGCATCACCCACCATTATCATCTGCAGAATTACGACTGACGACAATGTCAATGACCGAGTTCAAGGTGAGATCTCTCGTGGAGGTTAGGATCTCCTGCAGTACACTGACCCGCTCCCCAACTCACTCACATCATCCCCGGCCTCTCATCCCTGCGCCACCACCCACGATCATCCCGGCCCAGTGCTGGCAATACGACATGGTACTTTGATAATCAGTAGTTTTTGATGTCATCATGCCTGAAGCCAAAGGGTAGTATCACAACCCAATGGCCCCGTCTCCGAATCTGTGTTTTAGACGGATTTATAGTTTAATGTATAGAGTGTGTAGTGCGTGGATATTGGTTTCTAGATAACGTCCCAGGATAGATCTGTGGAACATCCCGATGGAATTGATACAGGTTGTAATTTGGCCCGGTGGCAAGGTGACCTGGTGCGCCATCTGAAGCCAATAATTGAACAGCAATTACATGGCGTTGTTTATGCAATGGCATTTAATGTCATTGATGTAAAGATGAAGCGATTGGTTTCAATTCACTTGTTACTCTACTTTAGATGGCGCCATCTGCAAAATCTATTATTGTCATGAAACTTTAGCTCACCTGATTAAAGAGAGTTTTTAGCAACGTAGTTCATGGTTTAACGTCGGGTTTATAGCCACGTGCATGGTGTGTGCGTGTGTGTGTGTAATAGTGCACATTCACTGAAGTGCCTTTGGTTGATATGGTACGATATGATATGTCTTCTGATGATTCTTGATATTTATGTTTTTAACATAGTGTCGTGTATTCTGTTGTCGTAAATTCATTTTCTAATTATTGATAGTTTTTTCTTATATTATTTTTCTCCGTTATCTTTAGAAGAATTGCTCAACATTTTCAAATGAAACTTTTTTAAATGCGTGCAAATCCTGTCGATGCAGCTGTAAAAAACATGGATGGAGTAGTGCACCTTGCGTAATGAGTAGCAAGGATGGTCAACATCATACCTCTTCCTACACACAGACATGTCATGAGGTGATTTAACTTGATTTAATGTGCAGGGTGGGAAACGTGTCTCATGGCAAGCGTGCAAAGGAGGACAAACATACTCATCTTTGTATCATTCATGGCGAGGCAGTACACATGTATTAAATACTTGAAACTTGATTGGACGTTGCATTTGATTCACGTTTTATAATGATAGTTACAAGTTAATGTCTAGATAAATTAATTTCATGCCATTATCATCTTCCTCAACACAACGCAAAACCCTTTCACTGGAACTGCATAAAAACAAAACAAGCCAAAACCGCAGCAAATCATAATCTTACACATGTTCTTCAGGTGGGCTGTGACCCCTGTGACCTTTGGGATCAACACTGACAGTGTTCTACCACTCCGATTTGGTAGACTTTATGTTATTGAGGGGTAGATTCTGACCGTACATCAGATGAATCCATTTCTGTTTCAGTTTCTGGTCTGTTGGGTCCGTATTACGCCAGCCTGACTGAATTATACCCACAATGTGATTAACATCTATATATAGCACATTCACTACCATCGTTATACAACACATTCACTACATATCATTATACAACACATTCACCATTCTTTACAATCTCATTCACTGCCACTATCATACCACACACTCACTACCACAAGTTCGTACACCAAACATCCACTGCCAATTTTGTACAACATTCATTTTCATCTATCTGAAATTGACTGCGTCCTTAACAAGTCGTTAAACTCCGCACACGACAGGGTGAAGTTTAGGCGGTGTGTCCCCTTTAGAAAGTGGCGGCCTGCCATCAGGATTCGGTTGATGTTGCACAATGTAACGTTAAAGCTATTCAGCTGTAACATGTAAGATATATCTGACACTTGACTTGATGTAAATACATCACTTTGAACGTTTGTCAGTGAAATGCATTATGTTGGGTTATGATCCTCATATGTCAATCGGGTTCGAATCCCCGCATGTGTACAATGTGTGAAGCCCATTTCTGGTGTCCCCCGCCGTAATGTTGCTGGAATATTGCTAAAAGCGGAGTAAAACCAAACTCAGTCAGTCAGTCATATGTCAATCCCTGCATGAGGCTGCTTGGTACACCATACGTGTATTTATATATCCTGGGCCTTGTATTCATCAAACATATTTCCATCTTGTTTGCACTTTTTTATTGCACTTCTTATATACAAATTTCGTTTGAAATATGTAACAGTGTATATATACATGTAAAAAACAGACAGCAACAATGGTTTTACTTGTTGATGGTATCACAAACACAACGGCGGTTCTACAACTCAACAAGTCTTAAATATTTACGAAGAAAAGGGTGAGGAAATGTTCTCGTGAATTGTCTAAAAGTTGAAAATCTGAAAACTGTGTTTATTCCTCCTACAGCAAGGTGTGGTCATCAGGCCAACTGTTATATACTGCTACTATCTGTATTCAATACTGTTGACCGGAACAAGCAGGACATGACGTCATGGGATTCTCCACCACTGTTGACCAGCTGGACAGCAAGTTTGTACATGACGTCATGGGATTCTCCACCACTGTTGACCAGCTGGACAACCATGTCTGTACATGTCTGTACTACGAAACATACTGGGGCAGTCTGTAAACAGATAACAAAGGTGACGTAACAACAGTTTAGGAGAGAGTAAGTGGGGATGTTTGGCACCGCTTGGAAAGGTGTTTCAGTAATACCCATTTTATGTGGAAGGCAAACCACCTTGAAAATACGGGTGAACATGGGTATAGTCTGAATGACCGACGATCATAATCGAACGCCATTTCTACAAGACCCTAAACAGCGGGGCAAAGCGGGATGCAAACTGGCAGCAACCGTTTCAACAGCATCATTGAGGAGTTCACCTGTTTCAACAACATCATTGTCGAGTTCACCCGTTTCAACAACATTATTGTCGAGTTCACCCGTTTCAACAACATCATTGTCGAGTTCACATACACGTTTTTCACAAATGCAAATATCATGGATGAATATGAAAACTATGCTGCCATCATTGGATGTAAGATTTCACATGGCGACACCATGACTCCTACTATACAATACTTACCCAAACAACCGTGATCGCCTCGTCAGACGTAAGGGTGTGGTTCCTTGTCACACCGACAATGAACGAAACGATTTTCTAGCTGTGTCCAGATACAGACTGTAGTCACAAATCGTTTCATCCTCATCCTCAGCGTTCCATATCGGGAGGCAATATTGTGTACGTGACATGATGTTCTCTCAGGAACACATACCTAAAGTTACATCAATTACAACTCTGCTTTAGTTCGCTTTTTCCCTGAAAAATGTTGTCTATTTTCAAAATCGTTTCCATGTTTCATATAAACACTGTATCACAACGACCGTCTTGCAGTTTGCCTGGATGGTGAAAGCCGCCTTTTCAAGAGAAGATCTTCTAAGCTCTTCCTTTTAAACATGTTGCCCAACTTTCTCGACATATTCCCTAAAATACTCCGCCTCCTTTTCACATTTTTCGACCTTTGTTTCTGCGCCTCAAATGCGTCTGACAAAAGTCCTTCGAAAACAGAACATACGCTCGAAAAGTCTTCGGCGGCGGAAATTTCAACATGGCGACACTGGTACTTTTGAGCGAGCGGCCGGACGTCGCCTGCTTCCACCTGCCGGAAGTGTTCTAGATCGAGCTTGTTGCCAAGTATGATTACGGCACTTCGCGGAGTTTGCCGCCCCCTGTGTATTTTCTCCAACTCAGTTTGGACGGCGACGGCGGCAGAGACATCAGCAATGCTGTAGACGACGATGAAGGCATCGGCCTGGTACCTCCGCAGCGTGGATTCCGTCAAACCGTCCTGTAATACAAATATTATATGAAACAAATATTCTTTGATGCACCGACATATTGCACCTGTTTTCTATTGTTTTGTTTGAAATTGTTTAGTCTGTGTACACATCATATAGTAAATACATACACGGATCGTTTTAAGTAAATTATGCAATATATTTCCTAGTGTTGGCATTGGCATACAACCTGTGATACGAAACATCACGATACTAAAATTTTAGTCACGACGATATATTGCCAAAGTATTGTGCACTGAAGCTGCAATACGATGCGAATCCCGACACAAGGGTGGCGATACGATACCTATCACGATACTAAAATGTTTAATTCTAACCCCAACTATAAAACACCTTAAGATCAAAACAAAACCATTTGAAAGTATTTCGTCAAATTCCGCCAGCGTTTCTCAATGTTCATTCGGAAATGAGATAATTAAGTTTATACACGGACTTTGTGAATGTTAATGAAATGCAAGCGCTATGTTTGACACAGTTTCTGACGCAAGAATGTCCGAGAAACGTATGAAGGGAAAATAAGTATGCATATATTTCAATCATCAAACAAAAGTAAGTCTTTCTTGACAGATATCGCGATTCGGCAATATTCAAAGTAAAACATCGATGTATCGTGGCCCATTTGAAGTATCGTATCGGGATATATGACAATGTAAAACTTTGTATCGATTCACCGTATCGGCGGTCCATGGATCGATGTATCGATGAATCGTCACATCACTAATTTTATTATTTCCGCTGATGACGGACGGTGGGTTAAACCAATGACTAAAGGGATTATAGCTCAGTGAAACCCATTTGTGATGTTCTGGGTCACTGGACAATTGCTGCACCTTGTCACAACCGTGCTAATGGAACTGGTCATTAATGGAACTGGTCATTAATGGGGGTGGTTATGATGTCAACCACGTGCATCTCATCTCAACAACAGTATACCTTCCAGGCCTGCTACACGGCATATATATTGACACGGATTTATCCATGCCTGTTGGTTACGTTGGTTGAGTCAACCGAAGTTTCACTATATTTGGCGTGGTGGAAAACAAAGATAACACAGTCACTTCTTCAGTCATCTGTCAACTGATCAATTCTGTCACAAACATCCAAATCAAAAGCAAGCATTGTGTCACTGAAAGCAAGTACATGCATTGGGTTGAGTTCGCGCACTCGTCACAATGCACAAAGGCCGTACTAGGTGCAAACAGATTACTTGTTTGCGCACAAAAAAGAATGGTGTCCAATATCAACAAAACAAAGTTTGCTAACAGATAAAAAGACGAAATAATATTTCCTAAATCCTTTTCATCCTACATTCTTTGGCAAATCCAACATGTTTTATTCATATTTACAATAATATGGTTGCAATGGTATGGGGGGGAGTTTGGTCCTATTTCTGGTATGCGAACAACTCGAATCAATTATAACTTTATGATTCATACCGGTCGCGATTCTAAATCAGGTTTCCAGCGGATGGTTTCTTTGTAAGAAATGGCCTAAGCTTTCCGAGTGCATCAATATTACGAACAAGTGTAAATTGAATTTGGCTCTGGGGCGACTTGTGCAAGCAGCGCTGTTGGCTCGGAGCGCAAGAAAACAAACACAGTTCTTTGAGGACAATCCCAGAATTCCACGCCAAACCTGGTGTGGGATAAACAGGTTTATGTGTGATCTTGTGATGCATTAGAGACGTTCTTTGCTACAACGTGTGACCAGAGACTAGCGGTCAAAAGACAATACAAGCGTGGTCACTTAATGTCTGGAGGATATACGCCAGATCACATGCTGCTTGGCGTGGAGGCGCGATTACCCCAACTTAGCCATTAGTGTGTCCGTGTAAGACTGCAGACTGAGTGATATTTGTCGTTGGTTTTAGGTTTGCTGGACATCCTAAAACATACGTCATGGCATTAACAGATGTCACACAGTGAATGAGGTGTTTGGCGCCATGTCAGCAATTCTGCAGCTATAAGACGGGGCATGTATGTCATTTTCGGGAAGGCCCAGAACAGAAATGATCCTTAGCATACCATGCTTGTCGTAAGAGGGGCTAACGGGATTGGGTGACTAGGCTCGGTGACTCGGTTGTTGCATGTCACCGTTCGTGATGTCCATCACTGGAATGTCTGGTCCGGGCCCGAGTATTAACAGACTGCCGTTCTTCGGGCTGGAAGACTGCTGAGATCAAACAACTAACAAACAAAACAATTACTGTAATCACATCCGGCCCTGACAAGCCAGTGGTTGACATGATGAGCACCGAACCATCGCTCATCCAGCAACAACCGTAGGGTACACATGTTTCCCTTATCTTGGGACCCTCGCAAAGTATGAGGTATAACAAAATCCCCAAGACTGGCCCGTATTTGTATGGACAAAAACATCAAAACTGGATTCAAGGCTGCATTTATAACCTTGCGGGGAAAATGCTGCACCAATCGTGTCGCAGTAGTGAGTCCATTTACTGCCACCTAGCGGGAGAGTCCTGCACTAAACAAATCGCTCTGGTGAAGTGACTGGCAGTTTGCAAGTAATATAATTGTTATGTGACATTTAGACATTTCCATCTGACATTTGTTGACCATCTGCAGCTGGACAGATGGGGGAGGATCATCCGTCTAGACACACCTTGATGAGAGACGACTAGGACAGTCTGTTTAATGTCTCCGGGTCAGATAAGTAAGAATCCCCTGTTTTATCAAGACTATAATTTGAGAAAGGGGCGATTTTATCAGCCTTGAAAGTGTATTTTCAGGTTTTCGAAAGGTTGTAGTAAAGGTCTTCTTTGTACATTATCAACTGGGATATTAGAGCAAGTCTGCTTGCCTTGGTAAGAATCTTAGTACATGTATTAGAGTACAAAAGACGTGTTCATCATCGGGTCTATCAGCGGTATTACGATATGTACGGAGTGTTCATCATCCAGTCTGTCAGCAGTATTACAGTATACACAGTGTCTTCATCATCCAGTCTGTAAGCAGTATTACAGTATACACGACGTGTTCATCATCCAGTCTGTATACACGGTGTCTTCATCATCGAGTCTGTCAGCAGTATTACAGTATACACGGCGTGTTCATCATCCAGTCTGTAAGCAGTATTACAGTATACACGACGTGTTCATCATCCAGTCTATCAGCAGTATTACAGTATACACGGCGTGTTCATCATCCAGTCTGTCAGCAGTATTACAGTATACATGATGTGTTCATCATCCAGTCTGTCAGCAGTATTACAGTATACATGATGTGTTCATCATCCAGTCTGTCAGCAGTATTACAGTATACATATGTTCATTCATCCAGTCTGTCAGCAGCATTACAGTATACATGGTGTGTTCATCATCCAGTCTGTCAGCAGTATTACAGTATATGCGATGTGTTCATCATCTAGTCTATCAGCAGTATTACAGTATACATGATGTGTTCATCATCCTGTCTGTCAGTCAGTATACATTTCAGTATTATCAGCAGTATGCGATGTGTTCATCATCCAGTCTAGTCAACAGTATTACAGTATACACGATGTGTTCATCATCCAGTCTGTCAACAGTATTACAGTATACACGATGTGTTCATCATCTAGTCTGTCAGCAGTATTACAGTATACACGATGTGTTCAGCATCTAGTCTGTCAGCAGTATTACAGTATACACGATGTGTTCATCATCCAGTTAGTCAGCAGTATTACAGTATACACGATGTGTTCATCATCTAGTCTGTCAGCAGTATTACAGTATACACGATGTGTTCATCATCCAGTCTGTCAGCAGTATTACAGTATACACGATGTGTTCATCATCCAGTCTATCAGCAGTATTACAGTATACATGATGTGTTCATCATCCAGTCTGTCAGCAGTATTACAGTATACACGATGTGTTCATCATCCAGTTAGTCAGCAGTATTACAGTATATGCGATATGTTCATCATCCAGTCTGTCAGCAGTATTACAGTATACACGATGTGTTCATCATCCAGTCTGTCAGCAGTATTACAGTATACACGATGTGTTCATCATCTAGTCTATCAGCAGTATTACAGTATACACGATGTGTTCATCATCTAGTCTATCAGCAGTATTACAGTATACACGATGTGTTCATCATCTAGTCTGTCAGCAGTATTACAGTATACACGATGTGTTCATCATCCAGTCTGTCAGCAGTATTACAGTATACACGATGTGTTCATCATCTAGTCTGTCAGCAGTATTACAGTATACACGATGTGTTCATCATCTAGTCTGTCAGCAGTATTATCATCCTGTCTGTCAGCAGTATTACAGTATATGTGTTCATCATCCAGATGTCAGTATTACAGTATATATGTGTTCATCATCCAGTCTGTCAGCAGTATTACAGTATACACGTGTGTTCATCATCTAGTCTGTTAACAGTATTACAGTATACACGGTGTGTTCATCATCTAATCTGTCAGCAGTATTACAATATACAGTGTGTGTTCATCATCTAGTCTGTCAGCAGTATTACAGTATACACGGTGTGTTCATCATCCAGTCTGTCAGCAGTATTACAGTATACACGATGTGTTCATCATCCAGTCTGTCAGTAGTATTACAGTATACACGATGTGTTCATCATCCAGTCTGTCAGCAATATTCAGTATACACGATGTGTTCATCATCCAGTCTGTCAGCAGTATTACAGTATACACGACGTGTTCATCATCCAGTCTGTCAGCAGTATTACAGTATACACGGCGTGTTCATCATCCAGTCTGTCAGCAGTATTACAGTATACACGATGTGTTCATCATCCAGTCTGTCAGCAGTATTACAGTATACATGATGTGTTCATCATCCAGTCTGTCAGCAGTATTACAGTATACACGATGTGTTCATCATCCAGATAGTCAGCAGTATTACAGTATATGCGATATGTTCATCATCCAGTCTGTCAGCAGTATTACAGTATACACGGTGTGTTCATCATCTAGTCTGTTAACAGTATTACAGTATACACGGTGTGTTCATCATCTAATCTGTCAGCAGTATTACAATATACAGTGTGTGTTCATCATCTAGTCTGTCAGCAGTATTACAGCATACATGGTGTGTTCATCATCTAGTCTGTCAGCAGTATTACAGTATACACGATGTGTTCATCATCCAGTATGTCAGCAGTATTACAGTCTACACGATGTGTTCATCATCGGGTCTATCAGCAGTATTACAGTGTACACGATGTGTTCAGCATCTAGTCTATCAGCAGTATTACAGTATACACGATGTGTTCATCATCCTGTCTGTCAGCAGTATTACAGAATACACGATGTGTTCATCATCCAGATAGTCAGCAGTGTTACAGTATATGCGATATGTTCATCATCCAGTCTGTCAGCAGTATTACAGTATACACGGTGTGTTCATCATCCAGTCTATCAGCAATATTTCAGTATACACGGTGTGTTCATCATCCAGTCTGTCAGCAGTATTACAGTATACACGGTGTGTTCATCATCCAGTCTGTCAGCAGTATTACAGTATACACGATGTGTTCATCATCCAGTCTGTCAGCAGTATTACAGTATACATGGCGTGTTCATCATCCAGTCTGTCAGCAGTATTACAGTATACACGATGTGTTCATCATCCAGTCTGTCAGCAGTATTACAGTATACACGATGTGTTCATCATCCAGTCTGTCAGCAGTATTACAGTATACACGATGTCAGCAGTATTACAGTATACACGATGTTCATCATCCAGTCTGTCAACAGTATTACAGTATACATGATGTGTTCATCATCCAGTCTGTCAGCAACAGTATTACAGTATACACGATGTGTTCATCATCCAGTCTGTCAGCAGTATTACAGTATACACGATGTGTTCATCATCCAGTCTGTCAGCAGTATTACAGTATACACGATGTGTTCATCATCCAGTCTGTCAGCAGTATTACAGTATACACGATGTGTTCATCATCCAGTTAGTCAGCAGTATTACAGTATACACGATGTGTTCATCATCCAGTCTGTCAGCAGTATTACAGTATACACGATGTGTTCATCATCCAGTCTATCAGAAGTATTAATACAGTATACACGATGTGTTCGTCATCCAGTCTGTCAGCAGTATTACAGTATACACGGCGTGTTTAAGATCCAGTCTATCAGCAGTATTACAGTATACACGGCGTGTTTAGGATCCAGTCTATCAGCAGTATTACAGTATACACGGCGTGTTCATCATGGGGTCATAACATCCTCTAGATAACATAAAGTGACCTCACCTGGCTGTCTGAAGTGTCCAGAATCTCCAACTTGACCGGTTCATCCCCGATGTTGACCACGCTGGTGTACTCAAAGTCTGTTGTAAATAAAAGCAACTGTAGTTCTCAATTCGGAGAAATTCAGATAAAACAACTTCCGTACATTACCATCATTTAAAACAGGGTTATACACAGTTATGTGCACCACAACATCTCTATTACAAAGGATGCCTGCATCATCAACGACATCCTTTCTCTAGGAACACCTAGCAAGGCACCGCATGAACAATGTACCGTGGTCTAACGACTGCAGGTAGTCTGTTTGACCGAGAGCCAATACTGTCTGACCTTGGGTTTTTATATTTATCTGGGTTTCCAGTGTGTATTTTAATCCGTAAACACTCGTGTGGACAGTTTAAGAAATAGCTTGAACCAATGAATATTGTTTCAGGCTGGAATTAGCAATATTCTTGTTACAAAACGACCTGCGAACAATTCAGGAGCAGAACTCGATGAATACAAAGATGTAGGCCACTCCCTCAATCAAATACCATAGCGGTATCAGTTCACAAACTCGGTTCATGAAGTTTGGATTCTGATTTTACAAGACCCATTCAAAGCCAAGTAATTTTGACATGCATATTTTAAAACATGATTTCTACTTAGGCCCCAGTGTAGACCATTATAATAAAGTGACTAAATGAACGGCAAATGATGCGTGAACCAGTGTTACCTGTCCCGGAACTGTACTCCCCGATGTAGCGCTTGGTCAGATAGCGGACAGTGATGGCTGAAATAGGAAGAAGGACTTGAGATAATAACGCCATGATCGTGCTGTATGTAGAAGGACTTGAGATAATAACACCATGATCGTGCTGTATGTAGAAGGAGTTGAGATAATAACGCCATGATCGTGCTGTATGTAGAAGGAGTTGTGATAATAACGCCATGATCGTGCTGTATGTAGGAGTTGTGATAATAACGCCATGATCGTGCTGTATGTAGAAGGAGTTGTGATAATAACGCCATGATCGTGCTGTATGTAGAAGGAGTTGAGATAATAACGCCATGATCGTGCTGTATGTAGAAGGAGTTGTGATAATAACGCCATGATCGTGCTGTATGTAGAATAATAACGCCATGAGTTGAGATAATAACGCCATGATCGTGCTGTATGTAGAAGGAGTTGAGATAATAACGCCATGATCGTGCTGTATGTAGAAGGAGTTGAGATAATAACGCCATGATCGTGCTGTATGTAGAAGGAGTTGAGATAATAACGCCATGATCGTGCTGTATGTAGAAGGAGAAATAACGCCATGATCGTGCTGTATGTAGAAGGAGCTGAGATAATAACGCCATGATCGTGCTGTATGTAGAAGGAGTTGAGATAATAACGCCATGATCGTGCTGTATGTAGAAGGAGTTGAGATAATAACGCCATGATCGTGCTGTATGTAGAAGGAGTTGAGATAATAACGCCATGATCGTGCTGTATGTAGAAGGAGTTGAGATAATAACGCCATGATCGTGCTGTATGTAGAAGGAGTTGAGATAATAACGCCATGATCGTGCTGTATGTAGAAGGAGTTGAGATAATAACGCCATGATCGTGCTGTATGTAGAAGGAGTTGAGATAATAACGCCATGATCGTGCTGTATGTAGAAGGAGTTGAGATAATAACGCCATGATCGTGCTGTATGTAGAAGGAGTTGAGATAATAACGCCATGATCGTGCTGTATGTAGAAGGAGTTGAGATAATAACGCCATGATCGTGCTGTAGTAGAAGGAGTTGAATAATAACGCCATGATCGTGCTGTATGTAGAAGGAGTTGAGATAATAACGCCATGATCGTGCTGTATGTAGAAGGAGTTGAGATAATAACGCCATGATCGTGCTGTATGTAGAAGGAGTTGAGATAATAACGCCATGATCGTGCTGTATGTAGAAGGAGTTGAGATAATAACGCCATGATCGTGCTGTATGTAGAAGGAGTTGAGATAATAACGCCATGATCGTGCTGTATGTAGAAGGAGTTGAGATAATAACGCCATGATCGTGCTGTATGTAGATAATAACGCCATGATCGTGCTGTATGTAGAAGGAGTTGAGATAATAATAACGCCATGATCGTGCTGTATGTAGAGAAGGAGTTGAGATAATAACGCCATGATCGTGCTGTATGTAGAAGGAGTTGAGATAATAACGCCATGATCGTGCTGTATGTAGAAGGAGTTGAGATAATAACGCCATGATCGTGCTGTATGTAGAAGGAGTTGAGATAATAACGCCATGATCGTGCTGTATGTAGAAGGAGTTGAGATAATAACGCCATGATCGTGCTGTATGTAGAAGGAGCTTGAGATAATAACGCCATGATCGTGCTGTATGTAGAAGGAGTTGAGATAATAACGCCATGATCGTGCTGTATGTAGAAGGAGTTGAGATAATAACGCCATGATCGTGCTGTATGTAGAAGGAGTTGAGATAATAACGCCATGATCGTGCTGTATGTAGAAGGAGTTGAGATAATAACGCCATGATCGTGCTGTATGTAGAAGGAGTTGAGATAATAACGCCATGATCGTGCTGTATGTAGAAGGAGTTGAGATAATAACGCCATGATCGTGCTGTATGTAGAAGGAGTTGAGATAATAACGCCATGATCGTGCTGTATGTAGAAGGAGTTGAGATAATAACGCCATGATCGTGCTGTATGTAGAAGGAGTTGAGATAATAACGCCATGATCGTGCTGTATGTAGAAGGAGTTGAGATAATAACGCCATGATCGTGCTGTATGTAGAAGGAGTTGAGATAATAACGCCATGATCGTGCTGTATGTAGAAGGAGAGATTGAGATAATAACGCCATGATCGTGCTGTATGTAGAAGGAGTTGAGATAATAACGCCATGATCGTGCTGTATGTAGAAGGAGTTGAGATAATAACGCCATGATCGTGCTGTATGTAGAAGGAGTTGAGATAATAACGCCATGATCGTGCTGTATGTAGAAGGAGTTGAGATAATAACGCCATGATCGTGCTGTATGTAGAAGGAGTTGAGATAATAACGCCATGATCGTGCTGTATGTAGAAGGAGTTGAGATAATAACGCCATGATCGTGCTGTATGTAGAAGGAGTTGAGATAATAACGCCATGATCGTGCTGTATGTAGAAGGAGTTGAGATAATAACGCCATGATCGTGCTGTATGTAGTAGAAGAGTTGAGATAATAACGCCATGATCGTGCTGTATGTAGAAGGAGTTGAGATAATAACGCCATGATCGTGCTGTATGTAGAAGGAGTTGAGATAATAACGCCATGATCGTGCTGTATGTAGAAGGAGTTGAGATAATAACGCCATGATCGTGCTGTATGTAGAAGGAGTTGAGATAATAACGCCATGATCGTGCTGTATGTAGAAGGAGTTGAGATAATAACGCCATGATCGTGCTGTATGTAGAAGGAGTTGAGATAATAACGCCATGATCGTGCTGTATGTAGAAGGAGTTGAGATAATAACGCCATGATCGTGCTGTATGTAGAAGGAGTTGAGATAATAACGCCATGATGCTGTATGTAGAAGCTGATAACGCCATGATCGTGCAAATAATAACGCCATGATCGTGCTGTATGTAGAAGGAGTTGAGATAATAACGCCATGATCGTGCTGTGTATCCATAGTGCTGTAAGAAGAGTTGAGATAATAACGCCATGATCGTGCTGTATGTAGAAGGAGGAGTTGATAATAACGCCATAATAATAACGCCATGCGTCATCGTGCTGTATGTAGAAGGAGTTGATGATAATAACGCCATCGTTGATGCGGTGTATGCCGTAGAAGGAGTTGTCAAGATAATAACTACATGAAATATGCTGTCATCTTTAATAGAAGGATAGTCTATCGAGATAGGGATTCACGTGCAGTCATCTCGAGCGTGTTGCCAAGTGAAGGACATTGGCGCCCTTGATTTAGTCTAGGTAATCATATTTGGCATCTGTTCTTACAAATATGCAGACGGATAGGTAGCTTTGTGGTTAAGGCGTTCGCCTCTCACGCCAAATTCCATGTTCAATTCCCCTCTATGAGTCTATTTTGATGTTGCTAGAATATTGCCAAAAGAGCCGTTAAAATCCACGAGAGGATGTTTAATGTTTGAAACTGAATAAATCTATTTTTCGTATGATTTGTAGTCAAAGGTCCATATTTTCAGATGCAATGAGTCAACTTGCGGATGCAGATGGGAATATACACAGTTATGTTCAGTGTAGATAATAATAAACTGTTACAAACTTACCCGATTTCCCAACCTTTCTCGCGCCAAGAACCACAATACGTAAACTCCCTACAGTCGTTTTCATCGTGAACTCCCAGCACTGTGCGTATCCTACGAAATGTGTCCCCTTCCCAGCAAGACTCAAGCGAAACTGACGCAGGTTTCAACGCCCGGCACGGATAAGACGTGCTTGTTTACGAACCCGTGATCACGTGACACAAACAAACACCACCCTGACCTTCCCCTACGAACTCAGCGCTCGGCAAAAATGAAAGGAATCCACGAACATTTACCAGACAGACCTCGGGATTAACCTAGTCATTTTTAGATTCATATCTTTCCACATACAGGCATATTTTGCCGCTATGGTATTAAAGGATTTCAATGAAAGTGTTTTGAATCGATGTAGATGCTATTAAAGGTGTTCGCGAACCCACACAGACTATTGGTCGTATGTATACAACGTCAAGGTCTTAGAAATTTAGAAGGGAATGTCATATTCGACATTTAACAAACACCGACGGTTTGTCGCATAAACATGGCTAAAGTGGTAAGAAGAAAAACATTGTAAGACCTTGTAAGGTTTCCAGAAATCGTTTATTTTGACCCAGTTGTTTTCAGACAGTGTAACCTAATTATGGATTCAGTGAGAAGATTATGTTGTGAAAAGTTTATCCGTATGATATTAAGTGATGCCTCACCTTAAGCTGGACATTTTGTCACTCTCACCCTCGCTTTACGCCCGTACTAGTACCTAGAATGGTCATAAGTCGGAAGGAAAATGTAAACACTGAAGTCATTCCTCACAAGCATGGAACAAGGTGACCAATGATTGTCACTGTATTTGGTTCATCTGAAACATCAAATTGTCCCCAGAATAATCGCTATGTGGATGTGTATGAGTGTGAGTTGGGTTTTGTTTCTTTTTGAGCAGTATTCAAGTATTGAACCTGAACAAGTCTTTGAGTGAGTGAGTGAGTTCAGTTTTACGCCGCACTCAGCAATATTAGCTATATGGCGGCGGCTGTCTGTAAATAATCGAGCGTGGAACAGACAATCCAGTGATCAACAGCATGAGCATGGATCGATGACACGTGTCAACCAAGTCAGCGAGCCTGACCACCCGATCCCGTTAATCGCCTCTTACGACAAGCATGGGTTACTGAATGCCAATACTAACCGGGATCTTCACGGGTGAATCTGGACCAGAAAATCCAGGGATCAACAGCATGAACATCGATCTACGCAATTAGAATACGATGACATGTGTCAAACAAATCAGCGAACTCGACCACCCGATCCCGACAAGCATTGGTTACTGAAGATCAATTCTAACCCGGATCTTCACGTGTCCAGCAAAACTTTGACCAGTGATAAATATATATGAGATAGCAAGATATGAACATCACATGTTGTGAAAACGTACCCTGACTGTAATTATAGTTTTTTCCTCAACGTTGTTTTACCCTTGATCGCAGTAAGATGATAAGGTTATATTTTACAGTGAACAATATCTAAAACCGTTCTAATAACGCGTCTAATAGT